TATTCATGTGATTTAGAAGCCTCATTTCGGGATTCATATTCTCTTAATTTAAAATCATGCATGTGATTCAGATTTATATATTCATGCCAATTTAAAATTAATCATAAGGATTTATAATCACATGGTTTACAAGTATAAAAATTGCACTTTTTTGTCAAATTTTTGTGTGTGTGTGTGTATATATATATATATATATTCATCTTGAATTTCCTCTTTTTTACTTTCCAACTACTCTCATCCCTGAATTGATGCACGAACGTAAACAAGTACAAACCGGTTTCAGTTGCGTAAAAACAATAAAGCTGCATAGTATCACTAAGATTTTACATAGAATCTTATAGTGCGTCTAATAAATTGACTAGAGACTGTATATTAATTTAGTTGAAATAAGTAAAAAATATTATATTTAGCATTTTAATAATTTATGATTATGAAACACCGATGTCTGTTTCTGCCTTAAGTGCAAAACAACAATTTTTCATATTTGCAGTTATTTTGATCAGTGAGAAACAGTTATTCATCGTTGAAATTTCTTTAATTTACAAACATCATTATTGGTAAATTTTTGAATACGAGTGAAGAAAAAAATTTTCGAGCTACTTCCATTTGTATTTGAATACAATTATAAGTCTGATAATCTCTAACAGATTTTTTTTTAGTAGCTATTACATACATATTCCTCTTTTCTCCGAAATGGAGCATAGGGCTTCTACTATAGCTTTCCATCTCACTATTTGTGGCCAGATATTTTGCATCTCTCAATGTTTTCCTATTATTTTCAATTCGTTTACAATCGTCCTGCGACAAGTATTTTCAGGTCTTCCTCTTTTTCTATTGCCTTGAGGGTTCCAATCAAAAACTTGTTTTACTTTAAATTTTTCAGCTTTACGTAGAACATGGCCAATCCATTTCCAGATCAATTAAGTAACTATTAGACCAGGGGTGTCAAACTCGCGGGACGCATGCGGCCCGAGATGAACATTTTTGCGGCCCAGTCAATATATTCGACTCAAAGTAAAAATAAAATAGAAATGTTAATTAGAAAGGAAACTAGCATTTAAAATTATAATATACTTTATTTATAAACTATAAGGATCATTTTAAATTGTACGCGTGAAAATGTAAAATTCTAATTGGCTTGCGGCACCTGCCATTCCAGGGATACTGCATCGTATCAAAAATACGCAGAAAAAATTTAAAATCTTAGAACAGAATTTGAAACAAAGATTTTAATTCTTTGGAAAACAAATTTCGTTTGTTTTCTTCGATTTTCTCAATAAATATAGACTCAGTACCCAGCAATATGCAAATGGAAGTGATTGAGATTCAGGGCGACTCAAATTTGAAGGCAAAATTCATTGAAGTGAGTGTGCCTGAATTTTACAAATATTTACATGCTAGGTTTGAAAATACTCGAAAATTCGCATATGAAATTATTTCCATGTTTGGAAGTACTTATCAGTGCGAGCAATTATTTTCTGTTATGAATGGAAATAAATCTCCTGTCCGAAACCGTATTAATAACGCTCACGTTGGGTCAACTTTGAAAGTAGTCTCGGCAAATAAAATTTCTCCCGAAATAGGAAGGATAGTAGCTGCGAACAGATGTCAAATATCAAACAATAATTTTACTTTATATATTTTTATTACAATGTACTATTCAAAATAAAAATATTTGTTTCTATGAACACTGATTTTTTTTTTTTTTTTTGCGGCCCACCTAAAGTTAAGCATTCTTTATTTGGCCCAAGTTAGCGTTTGAGTTTGACACCCCTGTATTAGACAGTTTTTTATAATTAAAAAATAGCAAAATATGTTTTGGCTTGTAATTAGAGCTCCATCTGCTTCAAAAGTTTAAATAAGAATTTCATTAATTTGAAATACAAAGGGTGTCACTTGCCTCCCCAACCCTTTCGATTGCTTTGAAGTCACAAATCATCATTGCCTCTCGTTGTTGAACTAAAATTTCATTGAAAGAACAATATTTACTGCTGCCTCCTGTGATGAATCAACATTAGCATCCTTACTTATTTATTTATTGTTACGCATATGCCGGGTTGTGCGCCCATTACAATCACTACATCAAAATGAGCAGAAAACACTAATTAAAAAAGGACATCACAAAGATACATCAGAGTTCCCGATTCGAACCAGCTAACTCTACGCAACAGAACGTTCGGCTGATAGGAGAGGCCTGTAGAGTGTGATTTTTTGTAATTTTAAACCCAACTTAGAAAACAATTATTACAAGAAAAAAGTTAGTCTTCGCGTAGTTTTTTTTTTTTTTTTTCGAAGGACATTAAATAGCCTTTATGTTGAAAAAAAAAAAAACACTTTATATTTGTCACATTTTAAACGTAATTTTGCATCCAATTCTGTCACAAGCTTTAAGACAAACTTATTTTCATGATAAGCAGTTTCCCCCGTTACAAGAAGGTGCAAACCGTGAAATCCTATGGTTACATGATTGTAACCTAAGATTTAAGGATAGTTTTTGCCTACCAAGAAGTTTTATTTAGACTGAATTTTTTTTTATTTATAGAAGCACTACTGTGTTCCAATTAAAAAAAATATGTGTTTGAAAATACTACGATTAACTATTCTCACAAATAATCACGGTACTTACCTATTTAACCCGTCTTTTTGTGCCCCTTTATTTTACCAAAAAGAAAAGCAAACTAGCTTGTCTTTGTTACGTTTAGAGCAAAAAGTATAAAATTTTAATAACACAACTAGAATTTCTAAGAAAAGAAAGATGTTAAATTCACGAATAAAAATGGCCCTTTTCAGTTTGTTAAATTCCAACTCTTTAGTTGCATTTTCCAGAAACGCAGAGTGACTCGCCTGTTGGCTACATACAGTTAATAATTTTAAATTAATAATCATATCATCAAAGGATAACTTTTTTTTTTATTTCATCGTACTCTCTGTACATTTTTCGTTTTTCAAGCTGATAGGTTTTATAGTTTTTGAGCTACAAAACTAAATATAACATATAGTGAGAAATTTCTCAAAACATAACGGTAATACAAATTTTTAAAAAATTGCGTTCAATGAAAAATTAATAGAACATATAGAATTTTTTTCCGTCTCATTTTTATATCATGAAGCAATGAATAATTCTAGAATGAATAATTTTTTACTTAAGAGTGTTAAATTAAATTTTCTATCTTAGATGATTCATTCGTAATTTCTTTGTGCATCTAATCACACTGTAAAAACCTTAGTGTAATACCCATTCAAATTTGATGTGGAAAAAATATAAAAATTGTGTGTTATTTCAAATTAATACCGAGTTGAGCGTTCATCATTCATGCATACTTTAAAGGGTATAGTTAAATCTTAACACCAACAATTGATAACGCGTACACCAAGCTCAGATGCTTTTACTCCATTCATGAATTATTTTCTCCAATTTTGGCGCACGCTTGAAAATAGGTGAGCAACATTTTTTATTATAGTCTCTTAATCTAGCAGAGAAGATGAAAGTTTGGCTATGTCTCTCACGATGTCACAGGAACGGAAGAAGTAAGTAAACTGTTATAAAAAAGGGCAGATATGCTTTTAGTTGTATAATAAAGGAAATTATATTTTCTTAAGATAATTCATGTATATCTATCAATCGTATTAAATAATTTTATAATATTTAATTTCTACCTACTTTGATCGAATTCATATTAATATTCTATTGCAGGGGTTTCCAACTGGCGGCCCGCGAAGCCTTTTTTTGTNGTGATTTCCAACTGGCGGCCCGCGAACTAAAACATATTAGTTGTCATTTTCTGCGGACAGTTTTCGTAAAAGCTCTATACGGGTTTAAAATATTTTCTCGTTTATAAAAACCTAATTTCTTCGTTTCTGTGAAATTTAACATACCAACGGTGCAAAGAAATTTATTTTTCATGTTTTGCATCCAAGAAAATATTTATTCAAATACAAAAATGATCGTGTATGTTGCTCTTTTTTATTTCATTTTCTTTTGTATTTTGTGAATATAATTTGGCATGTGCGTATCAAAAATTTTCTCGAAGAAATTCTCCGATTTAACTTTTTGAAACCCCTCATTTTTGACGAAAATATTTACACACACATTTGTAAATTTAAAATGTAAATACCGATTCTCTGGTGGTTACAGCAGACAAACCTCAATTTTTCTCATTGAATATTTTGTGTGCTACTATATAAGTTTTAATACCTTAACAATTAGATATCTGTTACACATTAATTGTTTAATACATAGGTGCACATTAAAGTTATTGTAGCCCGAATTTTTATTATTTATTTATGTCTTTAAAATTATTATTAATAACAATTAAATATTTTTAAAAATCTACTTCTTATTTTAATTTGTAATTCAATACTTTTGTTTTGTACAACTTGGTAAAACTCTGACAGTAATATTTAATGTTCCTTCAAACATAAAAGAGTCCTACAAAAAATTTTGATGAAGTTGCGGCCCGCCGTTTGATTTGTATGTTTAATTGTGGCCCCCGGCTTCATGTTAGTTGGAAACCCCTGTTCTATTGAATTTATACATTATATGAACTGCAATATTTCATTTATATCCACCTTGATTTTGCTACGCATTGCTCGAATTTGTATTAATATTTTATTGAATATATGCATTCTATGATTTGCCAATTGTATTAAATAATTTTATACTATTTAATTTCTATCCGCTTCGATTTTGTTAAGCCTTGTTCGTATTCATATTCATTATATATTGAATATGTGTATTCAATGAAATATTGCATATATATGCATCGTAAACTACCTGATTCTCGCATTACATTGCATCGCAAAAATAACTTCACTGACTCTTATGAATGCGTATCTTATCTTACCACTACGAGATAGTATACGACCAGATATACTACGATTTTTTACAGTGCGTGTATATGTATACTCTCAATAGAGTTGTAAATTGTTGTAATCGTGAAAGCCTGCGAAACTTAACAATTTTTAGTGTATTGAAAAAAGGGTATATTGCAATTACTTACAGTGACGGTTCCATGTGGAACTTAGGTGCTGTTGTAGGTGTTATCTTGTGGGCATTGTAACAGGCCCAGTTTTTACCCAAGATATCATGACTCCATCCAGGTAGTATAGTATCACAGTAACTCGTAACATTATTTCCTGATTGTTTGTACATTGAAAAGGCGAAATATTTTCTGTAATTGATTACAACTTCAAATCCTTGGTTGTATACGATGGTCCAGTAACCCTTGTTTCCTAATTCGTCTACAGCTATGTTAGGAAATAATAACTCAAACTTCATAGAGTTTAGTGTGGGTCCTATAGTAATGAAAAATATTTTTAGAGAATTAAAACTACAATTGAAAACATGATCAGAATAACATTTTTTGAAGAGTTGGACGTTTCTAAAAAAAACAGTTCATTTCTAATTTTTTAAAAATTGAAACATTTAGCTTTAAATTTATTTTGTATAAAGAGAATGGAAAAAAAAAACATAAAAACAAGAAATATGTGAACCTTTTTGAAGGGTTTGTTGCCCTAATAAATCAGGATTGTGCTTTTTAAAATTAAAAGGGTTACAAAGTTGCTTTCTGCAACTGAGAGAATTGATATATCCATGATATTACCTTTACCTATAAAAACTTCAAACTCAGGAGAAAAAATACTATTCTATATGTCTGCTATAAAAGAAAATTGGTAACATTGATGTGAGAATAATTCAGATAATTATCAGGAATTCCAATCGCTTAGTTAAGAAATTTCATAAAGCGATAAGGAATTGAAAATTATCTTGTATTTTTTTTCCACTTTTGCCAAAACTTTAAAGCTGTACTATGAGATAACTGAAATAGGGTGGAATATACAACCTAAATACAGGGATACAGAATGAACTGGCATGCAGAGAAAACTGACATCTATAAGATGAAAGGTAATTAAGTGTAGGGGGTTGGCTATTCAGAGAAGTTTTTATTTGGTTTGATGATTAATTTATTATCACTTGATTATTTTTGGTTGATCATTGGATGCCCTGATATACATATATACACCGAAGAGCCATTACATTATGACCACCCTCCATCTATAACAATGGGCTCGCCCAGGTTTTCATGGTTTCTCGCCCAGGAACAATGTTTTCATGGGGCACATTAGGACCCATAATCCTCATAGAACAATCCCTGACGTCTGTAAGCTACTTGAACATAGTTGCAGACCAGGTTCACCCATTCATGGCAACAGTTTTTCCTGCGGGGGATGGTGTTTACCAACAGGATAATGCACCATGTCATAAGGGTCGAACCGTCGAGGAACATTGCAGTGACTTTCAAGTCATGTCTTGGCCCCCAAATTCACTTGACCTTAATCCAATAGAGCATTTGTGATCCTACTAGGAAAACCAAATTCGTGCTGCCACGCTACCCCCACGCAATGAGAGGGAATTGCAGGACCAGTTGGTGAGTGCTTTGTACCAGATACCTCAGACTACCTATCAGCACCTTGTAGAATCAATGCCACTGCGGGTGCTAGTAGTTTTGAGGGCTAAAGGTGGTCATAATGTAATGGCTCTTCGGTGCATGTATGGTGGGTAAATTTATTTTTTAACTATTACTAAACGAAAGAGTTATACTAGAAAATACAAATTTTGCAACCATTAGGAAAAATTTACGTACAAATTGGAACAAGTTTGCATTTCTTGTCATTATATTTGATAAATAACATACACCAAAAAGTAAATAGTGGTAGCAAAGTTATTTAGAGTTTTTTTTTTTCATTGGTATCCACGACGATATATTAACAGTTTATTAGTCGGTATTTGAAACTGAGAACCTCATATTGATTAAATAGCAGGCAACAGAAAAAATTCACTTAGTTATAAGGAAGTGCTTTCACAACACAACACTCTGTTAAAATTTGTCTAAGTTCTTAACTCGTTTTTCCTTATCCTACTGCAAATTATATTAGATTCATATCATATTTACAGAATGCTCCGTGGTGACGATACAGAAAGAAAGAAGAAAAAATAAAATAAAAACAGTAAAACGGACATTTAACCAATTTTAAACTAAGTATAAAAATTTTATAAAATGTGCTGTTTTCCTTGAAATATGCTTAAGCTACACTCATTAAAATACAAGAAAAGTTTCACGCATGAAAAATAATACTTTATTTAAGAAATAAAATGGTATCTATATGCTCCACTGGCAAAATCAATGGACAATGATTTAGTTGTATACTACTATTGAACGATAGGACGTTATATATCCTCTGAGAGAAGGTATTTTGCGTTTTGCAGAAATTATATTTCTTGATTTTTTTATGATTATACTCACAGTTTTTAAAGAATGCACTTTTTATAGTTTTCCCTATTTTCATTTCGATAAAGAATCAAAAAATATACCTTAAAGACAGCCTCAATGGAACATCCAACATATAGTTCTTATTACTGTAATTAATTAATATTATAAAATGCTTTTCTTGTCGAACTGTAGTTTAATAATCATAAAATTGTAAATTCTTAAAGTTAAACAATTCTAATCTTCGCAACCACTAGAAAAAATACTTTCTAAAATTATGAAAATTCCTCATCTGAGGGTATGCCTGGGCATTTTTAAATTACGTATTATTAGACTTTAACACATTTTTAAATGGAATTTATTAAACCGAGAATAAGGCATACATTTTTCTTACACTTGGAAAAATCTTCCGTAATCGCAGCAAAAATTCCGTAGAAGTGCCCTTTTAAATAATTACCCTATTTTTTATTTGACGGCTGAGACTCGACATACATTTTATTCATAAAATTAAAAAGTGGTGGAGAATATTTTTTCGATCAGATTGCTTTCGAAACAGAGAATACATTTATAATTACCACACCATATACATATTTACTTTAGGTATTAGTTCAGCTTTGGTAAGTCTACGGAAAAACAGAATTCTCATCATCCCTAATGAGATATTTTCTTACTGGATTTTAGTTTAGATGTTTTCTTTTAGTTTGATTTTCAACTAATCCGTTGACGGAAAATTAGTATCTAATGGATCAATCGATGGAACTGTACCTTTAGGTATTAATACGAGTGCTTTTGTGAAAATCATTTTGTGCCATTTCCTGTCGGAATTTTCCGTTTCCTGCGTAAATGCAATACTTTCTAGTGATAAGAAAACTGGATTAGTAAAGAATATTGTAGGCCAGTTGCACTTAAGCAAAGTGGATATTTTCTATTATTAACAACCACCTTTAGTTTCAATTATCAATTTTTAATGATTTCTGACCTACTTAAAGATATTTATGTTATTAATATATTCTGGTTGACACAAACATTTTAATGTAGCAAAATAAATGTCAAAAAATCCTCTCTATTTTTTTTTGGGGGGGGGGGAGAGTGTTGTCCTTCTATAAATGCCACATAATGAAACAGCATTTGTAGTACCATTTTTTAATTTTTTTTTTTTGAAAATAATACTATTTAGTAATAATAAGGCAAGAGATAAGATGGTTAAATATTTTGGGGAAAACTGACACGAAAATGTGAACCAAAATTTTTGAAAAATGAGTAATGCAAATTCTAGTCCACATCCAAATCAAAGCTTATCACTTAATATTTTTCGAATTTTAAATTGGTTGAATATAGTAGCTTAGGCAGTAAAAATTACTGCATTTTTAGTGCTTTCCTTACTTATTGCATTTATTGGTGCTTTAATAAATCTGTAAGGAATTGTATGAAGTATTATGTTAAGTAAACAACAATATTCAAAGTAATTTCTCTTAGAACTTTGTTAATAACAAACAATACACTTTATTTTTTGTAAAGAAAAAATATAAAAAAAAAGCATTAAAATGAGAAGTTATAAAAAGAAACTCAGCATTAAATTAAGATACTACGGAAAAAATACTGTTTAAAAATCCATACACATTGTAAAATAAATGTATAATTTATCAAATTATATATATAATTCGGTCAAATTTGTACCTATTTTCTACTCATTATAAGACTCAGAGTAGATTTTTAAGGCTAAAGAAAATTGAACTTAAAATGCACGATAATATATACGAATACACCATCCTAAATTAGGAGTCAAAGCACTTTGTATAGCCTCCTTAAGGATTAAAAAACGACAGTCGATTTAACTTAAACCGTCAAACAAGCAAAAAACTTAGTTTTCACTTTAAATTAAAAACAACAGAGCAACAATTTTTAAAACTAAAAATCATTAATCACATTGCTCACAAAATGTGGAAATTAAAATATCTCATTACATCCAAAAATAAACGAAAAATGTCATTACTCTCTTACTACTATTTGAATTTCAATAGGAAGCTTTGACCCCTGCAACATTATAATAATACGAGGGCCACGACCACGGAAAAATTTAAAAAGTAGTTGAAAAATATTGAAGAAAAAAAAATTTTTTTACTAATTCCCATGAACTAAAATAAATTTGTAAATTAAAGAGAGAGAAAAAAAAAACAGATATTAAATTTTCCCAGTCTAATTCTTAAAATTACAGTGCAATTAAAGTCAATACTTTTTACGTTTTTCGTGGTTGTGGCCACCTTAATAAATAAAAAATGACACTTATATTAATTAACTGACCTCGGAAATTAGAACAATCTAGATCACTTTCCCCGCTTCTTTCCCCCTCATAAAACATCCAGGTACCCCTGACATCTTCATAGGTACAATTTGCTGGGGTATCAGCCCCTACACAGGCTACCAAGATACCCAACAGAGCAGCAACTATCCAACCTCTTTCCATGTTGATCGTAAGAAATAGTTTGATAGTGGATTGAAAGAAACAGAGACGCTTAAAGCTACAAAAACAGCTGATTAAAGTATGTGGATTTTATCTCTGAGTGACGAACTTATCACGAGTTTAGATACTATTCACTCTTTTGATATTCAAGCACATGTTTTGATTAGATCCTAATTTAGAAATCCCTGATAATTCGTATCACGTATTGTAATTGATGTTATCTGAGAGTTTCTCAGTGTTAAATGCACAGAAAGGTTTCTATCCGATTGTTGTTTTCTATTGTGTTTTAGTACAGTGAAAGAAGAGTTGCTAATTGATTTAGTCACGTGAGGTAAATGCTCACATTCACATAATTCAAAACACCCAATAGGCGAATACAATTTAGATCTTCCCAAACTTTTTGAAACCCTTATTTTTATTCGTTCTTACTCACGCCAAACATTTAATGACCGTGAATCAAGATACTATCTATAGAGTAAAATAACTATTCTAGTCCCATAGTATCAATTGAGTCACACCGTAATCGAAAAACAAGTCATATGACATGATTCTCAATTAACAAAATATCTTCAGTTAACATGCGCATGAAATTAATAAAAATTTATGAGAAAATTTAACATTAAAAGAGGTACTTCTAATTTCTTCTTTTATAATTGTTATAATATTAGGAATTCTGCCTTCAACTATTAGCGTTCACCAACCCCTGCGATAGCTTAGTAAAAAAATTTATTTTTTGACAATAAACTTATTGTTACATTAAAATAAAATTTGTTTATCGAGAGGTTATAGCAGTGTTTCCAAAGTGGTCCATCTGGACCCCCAGGGGTCCATGGTACAATTCAGGGGGTCCATGAAAAATAAAAACTGATTTAGGGGTCCCTGAACAACGTCAGGGGGTCCGCGTGAGGTTTAATATAAAATAATAAAATTGTGATTGGTTTTTATTATTATAGAAATTAAGATAAATAAAATAGCAGCGATTTTTACGTCCTAAGTAAACTATAAATAAAGGAGGGTGCTTATAATTATTAACAGTGGTTTGTTAAAAATTAAACAATTGATTTGCAAATTTTCTTATATCTTTTGTTCCCTTTTTAAGAGATATGAATGAGTCGAAGAAAAGACGCCGAAAATACAGTGTCAAATATTTGAAGTATGTCTTTATTTCTTTACCAGGAAATAGTACATTGCCTATGTGTCTTCTATATGATAAAACTATAACAAGTGATTCAATGAAACATTCCAAAGCTTAACGAACAATTGATAAAAATCCATAGTGACAAAAAAGATAAAGATTTAACTATTTTTCAAACAGTCAAAGAAAAATATCTGAAAACACCGTCGCTGCAACAACTTATAGGGACAACATCTAAGCGAGGTGACGATGGATTGCATGTTTCGATATATTACATGATTGCAAAGTCCGGAAAGCCTCACACTATTGAAGTCCTTATCTTACTAGCTATAAGTGATGTAATACTTACCGGGTTGCACAAACCAGCTTTTAACATTGTAAAAAGAATTCCACGGAGTAATAATAATGTACAAAGAAGGATTGACAAAATATCTCAGTGTGTAGAAAATTCTTTATGTGAGTACTTAAAAATCTCTGAATTTTCTATACAGCTTGACGAGTCCACTTATCCAGGAAACGAAGCTTTTACTTTTAGCTTATGTACGATTTGTAAAAAAATAAAAATTTTACCAAGAATTGTTATTTGCTAAATGTTTAGAAAGCAATACGACAGATCAAACGCTATTGACTGAATTAAAAGCTATACCCTTGACTAATATCATTTCTGTAGCTACTGACGGTGCTCCGGCAATGGTAGGAAGATACCGAGGTTTTCCACCCATAATAAATATCCATTAAAGTCCTATTTCTTTCCTGCAATGATATAGTAATTGCTATATGAAAGGAATGATAGATAATATATTAAGAGCCATTATTTTAAATTTCAGACTATGTGTGATAGTTGCATTTTTTGATTGGATTGATTATTATTATTTTTTTATGTTAAGGTTGGTTATGAAAAATGAGTATCATGCAACTTTGAACCCCTAAAAAAATTTTCCTCCATTGAAAAAAATATCAATTTTCAAGGTCATTTCTTTAAAAGTGAAATATAAGCATGTCTTAAGGGGTTTATCAGCAGAAAGCAATAGCATACCAAACTTCTGTTTTTCTTTATCATTAGTATATCGCTGCCTAGTTATAGACATGCACTCGTTTTGATACAGCATTGTTGCTTTTCAGAGTTATGCTCTGTCAAAGTTAGTGAAAAATTCGGTTTTGGGCTTTTTTTCTGCCTTGAAAATCTAGGTAAAACAGCAACACCTAATAATTTCTTAACTGAATATTAAAGTTCTCCAATAGGACAAGTTCTGTGATCCGGCACTTTCCTGAGTTATCGATGCTTTGAGTAGACATAGCCAATCAAACTTTGAAAAAAAGTGCAAAATCTGCAATTTCTTATTTAACTTTAAAAAAAACGTATCGTTGATCAAAAAAACTAACTACACCATCTAGTAGATAAATGTATCTGTCAACAAAAAGAAAATCAATGGGATCTCACCTCATTTTCAAGAAAAAAATTACCAAAGTTGTAAATAAATGCTACGTTAAAAATCCCGTCCCATCCCCTTTCTTAGACAAAGATTGTTGTTCTCGGCCATTTAGGCAGAGAAGGTGCGATTGTTCTTATTTTCCAGGGGAGCAATCTACGGCCAAGAATTCGACTTCCGCCGCACTCGTACGTCACACCCGTTTATAGGGCGGACCCATTCATTCACCCACAGATCGTAATTTTGACCTGAACCAGCGAAACATCAATCTCCAATTCAGTACCCCCAGAGGTTTAATTAGTTATGGAAACATGGAGGACTTTGCGACCCGGCAGATTTAACGTGCATCAGTCACCTTTTACTACACAGAAAAAATTTAATTAAAAAAAATTATAAATGTCTTACCATGTATGTGTTTCGAAATTTTGATACCCATCCTTTGACTTAATATTATTATAAGAGTTCTAGTTTAAACCTGAGAATTATTTTTAAAAAATCATTAAAGTGTCTGAGAAACGGCGACCTAAAACGCAGCTATTAATAATAATTCGAAAATAAAGGACAGCAAAGCCTATAACCGAAATAGACAATAGTATACATTAAATGTAGCCAAACAGAATTTTTCGATCAGCCTCATTTCATATTTGCATCATCATCCATTTTAGCGACATCTATGCTGCTTATATTGAGTAACAAGGACAAAATAAAAATTTAAAAAAATTTTAATTTATAAATATTTTTAGAAATTTTGACATTTATCCTCTGATTTGACATTAATATCAAAGTTCTCCTTTTGAACCAAAAAATTATATGAAATCATTAAAATGTCCGGGTAGTGACCCCCTAAAGTGCAGCTATTAATTATAATTAGAAAACAGAAAGCATTTTTTATAAAAGAACCCTCCTGATATCATTGTTTTTAGCGACGCCAGCGCTAACCGTAAAGAGTGACAAAGACAAATTCTTTTTTAAATATTTTAAAAATATATTTATTATATGTATAAGGCCGGGATAGCCTGGTCGGTAGGGAGCTGGACCCATGTCTGAGAGTTTGTGGGTTTGAAACCCGCCGGCCGAAGACTCCCCGTGTAGTAAAGTGACTGATGCACGTTAAATCTGTCGAGTCGCAAAAGTCCTCCATGTTCCCATAACAAATCAATACCTCTGGGGGTACTGGATTCTAGATCGATCACTCTCTGATTCAGGTCACAATTACGATCTGTGGATGAATAAATGGATGCATGAATGGGTCCGCCCTATAAACGGGTATGGTGTGGCAGAAGTCGAATTCTTGGCCATAGATGGCGCCAATGGAAAACAAGGACAATTGCACCCCCTCTGCCTAAACAGGCATACGTCAACATCATATGTATAGATTTTTAGAAATTTTGACACCTATACTTTGACTTGAAATTTATTTCAAAGTTCACCTTTGAACCAAAAAATTATAAAAAAAAATCATTAAAGTGTCCTCCAAACGCTCCTTCGAATGCAACTTCTAATAATATGTATTTATAACCGTAGTTGAACAGCCAACCCAATTTGAGTTGACGACTACCGCAGTTCAACTACGTAGCCTTGTAATTTTGAAACCAATCCAGAAGACAAGGGAACTTCTTGAAGAGAAATTTACCTTCGTTTTTTAACTCTCCTCACATCTTATTTTCACCATCATCGAATTTAGCGACACCTGTGCTAACTATATAGAGTTGCAAAAACAAAATAACATTTTTTTTAAACTGTTTTATAAGTATTTTTTAGCATATGTTTTTATTTAAAGAACTTTTGACACCCCTTTGACTTGATATTAGTATCAAAGTTTTCTTTTGAATCTAATATTTATAAAAAATTCATAAAGTGTCCGGTAAATGACCCTTTAATAATACGGCTTTAATAACAATTGAAAAACAAAGGAGAGCAATACCTATTAAAGAAATGGAAAATAGTATTCATTAAATAAACACAGAATTTCTTAAATCGCTTTATGTCAGATTTGCCTCATTTTCAATTTAAGCGACATCTGAGCTGTTAGCACGATATCGATAAGGACAAAATAAAATATTTCTTAGCATATAGCTTTTAAGAATTTCGACATCTATCATTTGACTTGATATTAAGTTTGTTCTTCATCATTTTATATCATGAAAGCTAATCTGAAAATAATTGAGCTACCAGTTTTTACATTTTTTAATGAAAGATCTTAATCGTATTCAACCCTAATTGTTACGAAAGCAATCGTGTTAATTTGAATTTTTGTCTCCAAAAACATATTTCTATGTTAGAAAAAAAAACTTCCGGCTTTATTTGCGTCTATTGAACTCAATTAATCCACTTTTTAAAATTTTTAAAGCCGGTTAGAATCTTGATTTAAATTTTGACTCAAAAAATACAGTGGAACTTAAATTTAAAAAAAATAAGAAAACTGCCTGACTACAAATTTGTTAACAACTTTGTAATCATTCTCAAATAAAGGATTGATAAGAATGAAGTCATACGACGACATTTCGAATGCATTGTGTTTCATTATTTCATTCTAAAAACAAAGTTCAAACCTTTTTTGCAAAAATAAATTTCGAAAAACAAGTACTTTATGCTCTTGAGTATTTTATCGCACTTAAAAAGTATAAACAATCACATATAAACAAGAAATGATTCTTATCAGTCAGATTTCACGAGCAAATGGAGTTTTGATTAGATAGGAGTTGAAAATAATGAGGACTATGACTTAACGAACTAAAGGAAAAATTTAAAAAAAAATTTGTCAGAACTTTCATGGAAGTGGATCAATTAAAATTCTTATTAAAATGACTTCGAATACTTTTTGTCTAGTTTTTTCGCTGATTTTCATTTTTAGTTATGTAAATTGTGATACTCCCGCTAATTGTACTTATGAAGATATTAGAGGAAAATGGATATTTTTGGAAGGAAAAAGGGAATCAAATTCTAGTATTGACTGTTCTGCAAATGGTAAGAATTAGAATATTATTTAAGATGCATGATGGGTAACATGTTCACATATATGTATGTAATGTAAGAAATAATTAAATATCACAATTCATTTAATATCATTATTATTCATAATAGTGATGTTTAATAAATATTCATAAAGTACTAAACATCATTATCTGGAAATAAGTAATTTCTAAAAATATTTTTTAATTATAAACTAGAATTATTTTTAAAAAATTCTTTATTAAATGTAATTAGCTCCTGACATATTATGGTATCATGACAAGAAATGTTATTAAACTCTAATAAATATTACGTGTGTATGATAGTTTGAAGATACTTGTTGTCAAAAGTTAAATCTATCTCATTTAATATTTAGGTGTCCTAAAAAGATCAGGGGTTACCTCCCTAATACAAAACAAAATCTAAAGCAAAAATGAATTTAATAATTTCTTGTTATTGTTGAATAAATACGACACGAATACAAATTCCGCGTGATGCTGTTAATTCTTTGATACAGAATTTTTAGAGAACATATATTTCACTCATTTATATTATTTTGTTTATATTTAGGTAAAAATAAAGTATAAAATATTGTATTTAGCATTTAAAAATTTATAGTTATGAAATATAGCATGAAACACCGGTGTGTCTTTTTCGGTGTTAAAGATAAAATCTTCCAAACACCGCTCAATTCCAAATAATATTTTTTCAAGTTTGCACTTAAATGCAGTTATTTTGATCTAAAACAACCAGTCGTTCATTATTGAAATTTTCTTAATTTGAAAAATCATTTATTATATTCTATAAACCAAAATGCAACAGATAAAAATAATTTTTTACTCAAAAATCAAAATCTTTATTTTTAAAAAAATAGGGGCTGTGGCAAAGAAGCGTCCAAGGCAAACTGCTCGCTTGTCGCCCCTGCAAAGAGGAGTGTATTCCCGGAAAGTAAAAAATTCTGTGGTTAAAAAATACGTACATTCTGACTAACAAAATATTCTTAAACTTTTCTGAAGTGCAGAGTGAACTTAAATGTTAATGATCTGAAACTTCATTATTAAATTTGTTTAAATATCATATTTTATTTAACATGAAATATTTTTATATATCAAGTATTTATCTGTTAAAAGAAATAATTTCATGATAAAAACATAAAAGTAGATTTTAGTGTTCTTAGACGTCCAAATGGTTGACTCCTTTGTCTAGATCAGAGGTCGCCAAAGTGGTCTATATAGACCCCCAGGGGTCTATTTAACAAAATTGGGGGTCGATCTGAATCAGGGGGTCGAATGGGGGTCGATCCTATTCGGAAGGGTCGATTGAGAGTCAAAGAAAAAACAGTTCTTAATACGTAAATCACACATATCTAATTGAGTAAGNATATCAAGTATTTATCTGTTAAAAGAAATAATTTCATGATAAAAACATAAAAGTAGATTTTAGTGTTCTTAGTCGTCCAAATGGTTGGCTCCTTTGTCTAGATGCTTGGGTCGTTGTCCCACACATGCCACTGAATATTTCTGTTTAGATCCTGAATGAGGTATCAATTTCATTTTTATTACAAGTTATTAATACTTTAGTTATTTTGTAACGAATTATAAAGCTTTTCAAGTCTAGTACAAATCACGAAGAGAGTTTTACTCTAAATAACGAATGATCCCTTACAGAAATTTAAGGTATTTTTGAGGCTTGTTTGATGTAGTTTTGAGATGTAAGGGTTAATTTGAGGCTCATTCAAATTTGATTTCAAAAAAGTGATTTTAAAAGATCAACCTTCAAAGGTGTATAATCATGGTGTATGAAGCTCCTTTATTCACACTGGAGGGGTTGTTTTGAGGTTGATGGAAATCTACGTTAGAGCAACCAACTTAAGGAGGTTGTTTTTAAGGTGTACCGATTTTTTTTTCTACACTTCAAGCAAATCTGTATATTTGAGGTGTGAAAATAATTTCACCCGATATAAACTAAAATTATTATATGTTATAAATGAGGTTTATTTTTTGAGGCGATATGAGGTTGAAATCGAGGTTTATTAATGAGGTAATTTTTAGTGCAAAACATAACCTCATTTTCCACCTCAGGTGCATTTTTTTATGTCTGTCAACCTCAAGAGCACCTTATTTTTTTGTAAGGGAGTATGGTGCTTTGATATAATAACTGACAACAAAATAAACTATTACAATAAAATTAACTATTCACTCATTAAATATTGTATTATGACAAACTATATGTTTACAAATCGAAACCTAGTCAAATGAAATTGGAAAAAGTACCATATTGATTACTCTAAATATAATTATAATGTATGTGGAACTATAGTTCCAAAATTTTTTTTACTTCGTTTCAATGCTATTAATGATATTTCTGTCGGTTATAAATAAAAGACATGCATAATTTCGATTTACTTAAAGTGATGACAACTGTTACTTTTCCAGGCACTTTCGAGGTTGAGCACACGTTACACATAAATCTTCTCTTTCCAAACGTAGCTGTTGATAGTTTTGGAAACAAAGGATTTTGGACAATTGTCTACAATCAAGGGTTTGAAGTGGTAATTAACTATCGCAAATATTTTGCTTTTTCTTCGTATAAAAGTCTTCCTAATGGCACAGCTACTAGTTTATGTGATCGCACACTGCCAGGTTGGAGTCATGATGTGCTTGGAAAGAATTGGGCATGCTACAAAGGATACAAACTGCAGAAACTTGATCATACAACAGAACATCAAGAGAGGAAGTAAGAAAATAATATCTTCGATCAGAATAGTCTTATAAGAGTTTAATTTTAAGTTGATCCATTAATCGAATAGTAAAGAATTAAAACTTCACCCGAAACTTCTATAGATATGTCTAAACTGACGTCACTTTTGACTTAGCTGTCCACTGGCGATCCATCGAAGACCAATCAGTTACAGATAGCAACCAATATGGGAAATACGTTTCTTTAGAATTGGATTACGAATCATCCGATAGCAGTAAAATTACTACAGTTGAAATATTATTTTTTGAATTTTTGTTTTATTAAAAAATAGTTTAAAAATGTTTGAATCGTAAGTTATGCAATTTTTTTTTATATATAAAATTTTAAAGTATGTAATTTTACATGGCAAAATACAAAATTTGAGCGAAATCGGCTGAATTGTTCCTGGGAAATTGAATTTTAAGGAAATCGTGTATTTAAAATTAAAATTTTCAGGAACTATTTAGCGGAATTCGTTTAAATTTCGTAATTTGCCATTTAAAATTACATACGTTAAAATAACGTAAAAATTGTATACCTTAAAAAAATATTTATTAAAAATTATTTTTTACATGGAATTATCTTTAGATAAATGAATTTTATAACTATGCGCAAAATTTTTTCGTTACGCTTAAAAAGTTCTCGTTACATGGCGAAATACGCAAAAAGTAAAATTAACAATAAGGGTTTGAAACTTTGGATCGCAACCCAGACCAAACTTTGAGGACCATATTTCTCAGATAGTGGCTACCCCTATATTCTAGGGTTCATAAATTCGAATCCGTTGAAAAAAAGGTATATGCTTATTCAGAGAAAGTAGATTTTTGTGTCTGATTTCGAAACTAAAAATATCGTCTGCGCAAATTAATTAAAATAATTGAGATCACCCACCGTGAAGATCCGATGAATAGATCAAAAGTTATTCAGAGTGATCCCTTATTTTTTTCTTTTTCTGTCGCTTACTGTACGTGATCAAAACACTTAATGACAATTTCTTTTATTCTTTTCAACTCTTTATCCTTAAGGGGAAATATTTTTTAACATTAAAATTAAGACGCGTTTCAGCCCTCTTCAACTTACCTTCTTTTAAATAGACAATTTCCCCCCCTAAAAGTTAAAAAATATATATATATATTATTGCGTTTATTGTAATATTAAGGTATTAATAACCCTTTTGATTTTTTTTAAAAGGACAATGACAATGTTGGTCAAACTGGTTTCATACACAAAGATAAAAGAGAGCAATAAAATAAAATTTCAATTAAAATAAAAATCAATTGAATCTTAAATCATGATTGTTTTTTATATCTATCTAACGGGTAGCTGATAGACGATATAATGTACATAATTTGAACATAAAAGCATCATATTTCCACTTTTTTCATATTTAATTTTATAATTGCAAAACTACCCAGACATTATAAAATGGTCGTGTAGCATTGCTGTTTCTCCAAAATTTTTGAAGCTTTGAGATACAGTAGGCTCGAATCCCGGTTTGAATCGGGATTTTTCTTTGTGCTGATAACTCAGGACCACCCTGAATAACTTTTGATCTAATCATCGGATCTTCACGTTCTAGAAATCAATCTTAATGTTTCGAGAAGGGTGATCTCAAATATGCTAATTAATTTGTGCAGACGATTTTTTAAATCATGAAATCAGACACAAAAGCGCTGTTGTTGTTGTTTCAAATCCCAGATACACCAACTGCTACACCGTCTGTATAAAACCAAAAATCTCCAAAAAGTCTAAAAACAAGTACGGATCCCTTAAAATCTCAGGAACAGTAAAACCTAAGGATTTGAGAATATGGTTAGGAGAGGCCTGTTTATGTTCAGCTAAAGTGAGCACTGAGCAGGCAGTCTGGGCTAAGTCAGACTTTTGCGACTGGTGCCCTAGGTTCTCAAATCAATTGAAACTGCTCTCTTCCCACTACCAGGAAACCAACTCTGAACACAAAAACATGTTTTATTTGAAAAAACATGCTTTTCCCCCCTGCGGATTCTAATTTCTAACTCCAAAAATGCAGGGGATAGCTGCAATCTGGGAAATATGGTTTCAATAGTTTGGTTAAGAGAGAGGTTCATTTATTTTTTTAATTTATTTAACGCGCACTGTATATACAGTTCTCCCTCTTGATAAGAATTTCCCTATACTTATGTTGCCTCCATGTTCCCATAACAAATCATACCTCTGAGGGTACTGATTCAGGAGTTTCCTAGTGTTCTGGGTTGGTTCAAATTTACAAGGCTACGGAGTTGAAAATTAGTAGTCGTAATCCCGAAATTGGTTCGACTGTTAAACGACGGTTATAAAATAAAATAAAATACATTATTTAGGAGCTGTGATGGCTCAGAGGATAGAGCATTCGCCTTCGAATGACGTGACCCGGGTTCGAATCCCAGCGACAGTTGATCAATACGAATTCCGCATCCGGCTTGTACCGAAAACAGTGCTGACGTAAAATATCCTCAGTGGTAGATGGATCATGGGTTATCGCCAACAGAAATAATAACTTAAATAAGTAAATAAAATCCGTTAATTCTTTGTATTATATTAAATCCAAATAACAATTATAATTTTCTTACTAAAACATATCTTCATTACTTTTAACATAAAGCAGTAACACTATTATTACAACTATTTATTTCAGTAACTTTCAGCAATTTCCTCGTCTATTTGATGAGAGTATGGTCCAAGATATAAATAAAGCTCAAAAATCGTGGACAGCTGTAAAATATCCAGAACTGCATGAAATGTCTCTCACTGAAATAATTAAGAAAGCTGGCGGCTTGAGATCTAGGATAAATAGGTAATTATTTTTTTATTTCTTATTTTGGAAAACACCAACAACAAAACACATTTATAATGTTTATATGATCACGAAAAAATTAGAAACTGATATTAATAATATGTAATAATATACTTAATATAATGATATGTAATAATAATAAATTGAATTTACATTCATTTGACATAAATGGATTGTAATTATACGCACGAATTAAAGATATGCCTGTAATAAAATTTAAAATGTAAAAGAAGCATCCATACAATATTTCTCTTTTTTTTTCTAAAACAAAATTCATTGTTTTTGGAGCCGTTCATAAATGATTTCGTGTTCTTTCTTCCTTTTTTTTTTTTACAAAATTTTTGAACCCCTCCTTTCCTTCGTCACAGATCAGATCCAGTTGTGATGCCATACACAACTGGTTCAGAAACAAAATACACGTTATAGATAATATTTCAAATTTTATTTTTGAATTTAAATTATGTATTATAGTGACATCTGTAAAAAAGACATTACCTGACATTTTATTTATAAAGGCTAGATTTGTACTTATTTTAATAAAAAATATGAAAAATATATATATATAAAAGTATTTATTTTGTTAATTTTAAATATTTTATTTGTAACCAAAATTAATGACATAAATGTTCTTAGTAACTCTCCCACCCCTTGGGGGCCGTCCAAATATATTTTGCAAGCACCGGACAGGGGGAGGGAATTTATGATTTGCTTATTTTGCTAAGAAAGGATTAGGAGAGGTTTGAGAAATGCTTACGTAAGACATTGAAATCTCCTTATTTTGCTTACAAAGGATTAGAAGAGGTTTGAGAAATGCTTACGTATGACATTGAAATCTCCTTATTTACTTATTTTGCTAACAAAGGATTAGGAGAGGTTTGAGAAATGCTTACGTAAGACATTGAAATCTCCTTATTTTGCCCCCTTATTTACTTATTTTGCTAACAAAGGATTAGAAGAGGTTTGAGAAATGCTTACGTAAGACAATAAAATCTTCCTATTTTCAATTTTTTTTAATGCAAATAAAAAGTAGTAAATAAAAAGACAATTAAAAGATTTTCAAATTTCGAATTGAATTTGAAAAAAGAAAGAGATGGACAAAAATTTTTCAATGAGTTTGAGAGGTCAAGTGAAAACAGAAAGAAAACACGATTTCTAAAGAATATCAGGCTTAAAATTTTGTAAAATGAATGCAAATGTAAATTTTATTATACGCAAATTTAAATTTTTTATTTTATCATATTAAGCAATTTTAATTTTTTATTATATTACGAAAATTTAAATTCTTTATTTTTTGTATCATTAAACTAGATTGCTATGATAAAAATCAAAGGGAAAAACAAAGAGGGTGTACTGCGATTTTCTAACGTAAGCATGGAGGCGGTTTTTGAATAGCTTATTTTCGTTGATAAGGGAGGGGGGTCCAAATTTGCTGAAAACATGCTTACGTAATATATGAACTGCCCCTTGTCGCAAACTGTTACAATTTAAAAAAAAAAAAAAAAAAAAAAAAAAAAAAAAAAAAAAACTCCCTCCCATTAAAGAGTATTATTTATGGACGGACTCTTTTGCGTATTTTTAAAAATATAAATAACTCACTAAATTAAGTTAGAATTTTATTCGCGTTCTTTAAATGAAGCAAAAAAAAAAATTAGCCTTTAATGTTTATTTATTTATTTATTATTTGTAGAGTTCCTCCAACAACACGAGTTCATCATAACCTTAAAAAATTGTCTTCTCTGCTTCCAGACGAATTTGATTGGCGAAATGTGAATGGAATTAATTACGTATCCCCCATTCGAAACCAAGGTAAGATAACACTGGCCTATAAAATGTATGGTTTAAAATACCCTGCGGAATTTATAGGGTTCTTTAAATAAATTTTAAGACGGATAATGCATGATTGAGCAGAAAACATTAAATTCTCATATACCCTAGCGATTAATATTATTTGATGCCTAGTGACAAAATTTGAGCGAAACTGCTTAATTAGTTCTTGAGATAAAGTTTAAAAAATTAAGGCACCCTAACAGCAGGAGGTAAGACAGGAAGACAATTTTGGCGTCACTAGAGAGGTTTTTTAAAATACCAAACAAATCTTTCTCACTTTTTTTTCTTCTTTCTTCTCCAAGATATGTGTAAGCCAGAGGCTCAACTGCATCCTTGAGTGAAATCAATCAATCAATTGACGTAATTTCTTAGTTGTGAATGATAACTAGTTATTTGCATTATCCCTATTGGACGATACGTATTTCCATCCCAATAGAAACGTATTCCTATTGGTTGCTATTTAACTGATTGATCATTGAACGATTTGCAGTGGACAGAACACCTGCTACGCCCACGACGAATTTCCTTATTTCCCTTTTATTTTGAACAATTATTTTAATTTAAAATACACATCTAGAATTCAATGCTTTTACTTACAGATCGTAGTCTGGATTGGGTGTTTTTGAAAGATCCAAGAGAAAAAAGTGAAATGAAATGCAAAATTCTTGCCGTCCTTGATAACATTAACATTGATTTCAGTAGTAATTTTTTAAGAGGGGAAATAAGAAGGCATTGTAGATGTATATTGAGAAAAGGGTTATTCTTAAGAAGTGTTTTACAGGATACTTAAAAATAGCACAAGACTTTCTCTTTCGTTATGCGAAAGATAACTTGGTCGGTGGTCGCCCACACATAACTTTATAAGTTTGTTTTTACTTTTTCCGTATTGATATCATAAAGGAATAAAAATATCTTCGAATTTGGCCTTTTTCGTAGGATATTGCTCACTCCAACAGTAGAAAAATTTATTTCCCTAAAAATACAAATTGTCACACTTGCGGAAGGATAATTTATGACCGTCGTTGAGCAGCCGACCCAATTTTGAGTTCATGAGTACTAATATTCAACCCCTTAGCCTTGTAATTTTGAACCAATCCAGAAGACAAGGAAACTTCTGGATCAGTACCCTCAGAGGTATGGTTTGATATGAACATATGGAGGACTTTGTGACTCGACAGATTTAACGTGCGAAAGTCACCATTTACTACACGGCCGGCGGGGATCGAACCCACGACCTCCTGGACATGGGCCCAGTGCCCTACCAGCCAGGTTATCCCGGCCATAGCGAAAGAATAGCAATTTTCAGATCGTTATAAATACGGATATTTTGTATCTTTAATATTAACATTTTGATAGTGATTTTATAACCGTTGTTGAACAGCCAATCAAATTTTCAGTTTACGACCACATGTTCAACTCCGTATCCTTGTAATTTTTTAACCCAATCTAGAAGACAAGGGAATTCCTGGATCAAGTATTGGGACTAATTTGCGTCCGTGGAGGACTTTTTGATGGAACTAACCCGCATTTGCGTTACATGGATTGGGAAACCACGAAAACCTCCCACGGTTAGCCTGACGGCAAGGGGACTTTAAACCAGGATCCGCCTACTATTGAAGATATTTTACGTCAGCACTGTGGTCGGTGCAAGCCGGCTGCGGAATTCGAATCAACCAGCCATTGACGGGATTCGAACCCGGTTGGGAGGCGAGCGCTCTATCCTCTGAGTCACCACGGCTCTTTGATTGTTATTTTGGAATTTTATATATATATAATGGACTTCTCACATAGTGCTGTACTTGTTATATAGAATTTTTACTGTATTTTCTGTTTTAAATATTTGCTGAAACATAAAATATATTTTAGGAAGTTGTGGAAGCTGTTATGCTTTTTCTTCGTTGGCTATGCTTGAATCTCGATTACGCATCATGACAAACAATTCTCTTCAAGTGCAATTTTCTCCTCAGGATATTGTCAGTTGTTCGGTATATTCTCAAGGTAAGTCTTCTTCAGATTTTTAAAATTTACAGCTTGCTTCAGAAGTATATTTTGAACGCAGTAAGGGGATACAAAAATCGATCGTTTCCAAAACGAAGAAAAAAATAGGAAAAACTCGCGCATTCGTTATCTTTTCTTACATAAATAATCCAAAAGATATGTATTCAGTATTACAAAAACTCGGTGGAAAGAGCTACAGTTGCTATCGCGATAAGTTTGCACTAGTTTTGATAAAATTTTACTAACCATTTCTTTAAATTTTAATCTTATACTATATGATTTTTTAATAAAAATATTTCAAAAGTTACCCGCATTCCACATGCACTGTGTTCAGCAAAAGAGAAACAAAAACAAATTATGCGAAAAATGTATGCTTATTGTGATTCTCATATAAATATTTGAAGAAAGCACGCACTCACAGAAACACCATCGATTTCTGTCTAATCACTGAAATTAAGCACTTGTTTTCACTTTTAAAATTTATTTACGAGCCTTGATAAACATGCATTTTTTACTCAATTTTTAGCAAGGATTCTAAAACTATACTTCAAGGACAGTCATTTCAAAATACCCTGCTTGTCAAAAACTACTATCTCGAATTCTATTTTGTTTTTATAAGTAGATAATATGTTATTGAATTCTCTACAATGTAGTGTAAGTATAAGTTTAATATCTCTATTTTGGAATAGTTCACAAGCTTTTACATTCCGTAACCCATGATCCGTTACCAGCGAGGGTATTTCACGCCAGCACTGTTGTCGGTGCAAGCCGGATGCGGAATTCGTATCGACCAGCCATCGCTGGGATTCGAACCCGGTCCGCCTCATTGCAAGGCGAACGCTCTAACCCGTGAGCCATCACGGCTCTAAAAGATGGATGTCCGGTTTAAATTTTATCTGTTCGAACAGGATGTGAAGGTGGCTTTCCATATGCTATAGCAGGAAAATACGCCCAAGATTTTGGAGTTTTACCTGAAGAATGCTTTCCATATGAAGGACAAGATAGTGGTTGCAATGAAAAGAAATGCAAACGATACTATGTTGCAGATTATAAATATGTTGGAGGATTTTTTGGAGGGTAAGTTTAAAATTTAACACACAACTTCTTTTATAATTTTCTAGATTCATGCGTAAGGTTATGTGTCAGTAAGCGTCTCGATATTGCATTTTTTAAAGAAAATCATAGCTATAGAGTGTATTATTAGTAATTCATTTTCTCTGCTAGGGTGTGTAAACGCAATAATATTTTGTCGCGATTAAAAACCTTTCCAGTGTAAATTAGTTAAAGGTCATTTACGATAGAGCAAAGTGGGAATTTTCTATTATTAGCTACCATTTTTATTTAAAAAAATTGCTTGTAATAATTTCAAAACGACCTAGACCTATAAAAATAAAAGGAGTTTGCGTGCATCTCCCTTATAATTCCAGAACCGGTCCTGGAATCTGGGTCAGCGGGTGCAAGGGACCATTTTAATCCAGAGCCTAAAAGTCGTTCAAAATTTTTTGTCGATCTATTCGGGAGGGACGTTTGAAAAGAAATTTTTTTCATTGGCATTGTTGTAAGTTAAACTATGGACGATTCTGTTTTTCCAAATATTTAAAAGATATCATCAGTGATGTCTGCTAGCTTAAAGCTCTTTTTAATCAAAATAAAAATTTATTTTACGTTCTTTGACATATGATTTTTTTTTTCGTGCTATATGTCAGGCAAGTTCAAGGATCAATGTGGATGATATTGTGAGTGCAACATCTCCGGTTTAGTATTTTCCAGCTTTCTGGAACTATATGTTTGTATTACTTATAGACACGCTTTTGAAATTCGTTTCTACAAAACCAAATTTAAAATGAACAGTTATTGAAATAAAAAAATAATAATTATGTACTAAGGAGTTAATTAATAAAGAAAAGGTACTTATTCGTTTCGGGAGACCGTAATAAATCGTCATACAATTATTACCGCAAATATTTAATTAATTTTGGTAATAGAGGTACTACTGGTATTATAGTAATTGATGATGTTTTATTAGGTATGGAAGATTGTAACAGGTACTAAAATCTCAAATTCTCTTGATATAGTTACGTTTACTGTTGATATAGTTTTTACGGCCGACTCTGAAAGGGATAAATAAGTTCAGAGAAAATTGCTCAATTGTATAAAATTTAATTTATTATGAGTTAGCATCGAGCAATAGCATCATACCAAACGATACTGAATACAGATAACTTTCATTTTGATGGATTTTAAATTACTTTATTGCGCATCGAAGTCAAATCAGTATGCTTAATTAGATTTTAACATATCTTCATAGTAATTTTATTGTTAAATAAACTTTTTATAGCCGCAGATCTTTACTAATGTGAATTTTTCCCTCAAAAAATATATAATTTAATCCAAGCAAAAAGTGGCTATTAAATAAATAGGGCCTATCGATATCGATCACCGACCTATTAGGTTTGAGGCAAAAGTGACTACTAAGTTACTAGAGTCTACCGGCCTTTGGCTACTAAGTGAAAATTTAGTAGCCGAAGGCAGTCTAGATGGAATTCTATTTCGAGATGGATGGCTGGTCTAGATGGAATACTATAAACTAATAACGTTAAGACACTTGGTCACGTATTTATGCCTCTTATCTTAAACAAATGTTTTCTAATTGTAAATATACACTCTATAGGTGCAACGAAGAGTTGATGAGGTTGGAAATCGTAAAGAATGGTCCTCTGACAGTTGCTTTCCAAGTTTATCCAGATTTCATGCTTTATCAAGGTGGAATTTACCACCACACAGGAGTGGGTGCGAAATTCAATCCATTCCACGAAGTAAACCACGGAGTCTTGATTACTGGTTACGGGGTGGATGAGAAAACTGGAGAAAAGTTCTGGATCGTGAAAAACAGCTGGGGAACAGGTTGGGGCGAGCAAGGATATTTCAGGATCCGAAGAAGCACCAATGAATGCAACATTGAAAGTATGGCTGTCTCTGCTATTCCTATACCTTGATTCTTGACGAAATTTCATGATCGCATAGTCGAGAATTTATTTATGCACTTTTAACTGATCACTATGATAATTTTTTAAATATACCTGGCAAAATTTTATACTTAACTGTTACTTATAACTTCTAAGAAGCAGTTTATGGAAAATAAAATTTAACTCAATTTTTATACACACATTTTTTTGATTACATATTACATAAGTGGTATCCCAACATCTGAGTCGCGAAACTCTCCATGGATTAAATGGTACCCGGCCACCCATTTAACTTTAAATAATTTCCATTTTATATACTGTGGTGTATTTGTCTCGGATTTGTGGTTAACCGTGAGTCACCTAAAGCCACACCAATAGCGTGCGTTCCACAGTGGACTGACTGATCGTAAGACACGGTTCCTGGTAGAACACAAAATTCGAGCATTACAGGCTGCGGTCAGTGTGCGAGTGGGTGACCACTCACATCAGGCTAAGAAGAGACAGAGGGTGTGCAGTATTGGTCCTCGTTAAACTGTTCTACCGTTAAGTCCTTGACTTCACCTACTGGACTACTAAAGCGGGAGAGTCACCCCCTTCGCAGAGGATCAAAATTATGATAGCATGTCTTCGGATCATCCTCAGTGACGTTTCCTAGACGTTCACCAATAGCCCATTATGCAGCTTTAGTGTGACATAAACTACAACACCGATACGGGCCTTTTATTTAAAAGGAATTTTCAAACACAATTAAATTAAAAGAATCTAAAACTTCTTTCTTCCACCCCTCCTTCTCAGCGGGCCGTGGGAAAATTATCAAATGCTGATTGGTCCGCGGCTATAAAAAGGTTGGGGAGCACTGATATACCTAGCACAGAACAAGGAACTTAAAATTTATAAGCACTTGTGTTACAAAAACTCAATTTTTTTTTTATTCAAAATTTTAAGTTAACAGGAAGAAAAAAACAGATTGAAAAATTAATTGCACTCAATATTCAAAAGTGAGAAGCAAACATTTAAATTGGTCCCATCTATGTTTGATGAGTTACTCGTTACCTTATCAATAGAGTCCTTTCTTTTGCCAGGAGCAACAGAATAAAAAAATGTTCCATCTCATTAGCCAAAAATATTAAGAGTTTTGGGGGTTTGAAAAGTAGTTTAGACTATTCTCTGTTACAGGGTTTCTTTAAATTTGAGGTGTGGAACCCCCTAAGCATTGCGAAAATCCGATACACATCTGAGTGAATCAGTTTCTTCACTTTTATCGTAATATACAATTTCAGAAGTCATTTATTTAAATTTTTAAGACGGAACAATGTGAAAAAAAAAAGATGCAAGAATCAAACTTAAAAATATAATACAAAATTAAAAAAGTAACACAAAAATAAAAACATAATACAAAAAAAAAATTCAATTACTTGGATAAATTCAAACATTAACTACAGTATAAATGTGTGTCAATCTAATTCTATTTTTTAAATTTATTTTATCAAATCTCGGCGAAACAGTAGGACATCGCAGGACTAAGCACTTCAATATTCTTTAGCTTTGACCGACCATTTTAAATTAAACATTTCGCCGATATGAGCTTGAATTTTCGACAAATGAATGGTGGATATAAAACAAATCAAGGATCGAGTATTAAAGATTGCATTTAATAAATCACCAACTCACAAGTGTGAATATTTTGTTTTTAATGCCCCCCCCCTAAATATGGATATAATTTAATAGCCGGTTAGAATAGATTTATCGACCTAAAAATTTATATAGATCGGCTTTGAAGCAAATTAGACAAAATTATTTGTTGTAGTTCATTTACGTCGCACTAGAACTGCACAATGGGCTATTGGCGACGGCTTGGGAAGCATCCCCGAGGATGATCTGAAGACATGCCATCACAATTTTGATCCTCTGAAGAGGGGATGGCACCCCCGTTTCGGTAGCCCGACGACCTGCACGCGAAGTGAGGTAGAACAGTTTAACGAGGACTAATACCGCCCACCCTCGGTCCCTACGCAGACTGATCCAAGTGGTCACCCACCCGCAGACAGTGATGCTTGACTTCGGTGACCTGCTGGGAACGAACCGTGTCTTAACGATCAGTCCACTGCGGGACGGACAAAATTAGATATAGGACATTTAAATTTTTAGAAGTTAAAAAATAAGGGGCACTAGTAGGAATATAAACTAAAAGCAAAGTAAAACAAGTCCAATTCAAGAAAAAAATATATAATTTAGAAAATAGTAACAAAATTTATTAACTATTTAGGCGGAAAACTGTAAAAACGAAGCCACCATTTTGCAGCGAATCTTTCAATTGAAATGAAAAGTACAATTAGTAACTTTAGATTCGACGAGCATTTTTTAAGAAATAATTAAAATAAAAAATGTTTCTCAATATCCAAGTCCGATTTTTATAACAATAATACATCATGTAAATCATCTAGTCTTTGATAAATAATTATCTTACATTTGCACACAGTAGATTAGAGGACTATTTTAACAGATTTATCAAAAATATCGTAAACAGCGACTCTTTAATGTTAAACTTGCCTTAAATCTATTAATTCTATTTTGTAACATTTTTGCATTAAAAATAAATGTCGTAGTTTGCTAGTATGTATCAAAGGGATCGGGTATACGGCTGGATTTAAGTTGAGAACGGCACAAAATAGTACTATTAATTTAAAATTTAATAGCTAAATTATCCTTTAAAAAAAATCTGATATAAAAAGTTGGACTTACTAGTTACACATTATTGGCCTTAGTAAATTGAAAAATAAACGGAACTAAAATGTCTCTTTATAATATTAAAAACAAACATAAATAGAAAAAAGTGAATTTTATTAGTCATTTTTCAAGTCACATAGAGAAATTAAAAATTGTACAAAAAATTTGAGCACATATACAGTTTACATTTCTAAAACATACATAGCATTATAAAGATATATGGCAACAAAATACTTTGAAAAATCATATAAAATAGGTTAAAATCACGTAATTGCAAATAACACTATTAAAATATATATGGCAGTTAAAAATGCATTAAGTTATTCAACAACAGCAATAAATTATTGCACTTTATACCTAACAGTAATTATTTACAAATAAATAAAATACTATGATTTATAACTTGTTTCTAAAAATGGCAAGTAAGTTTTCTATGCCTGTTGCCAATTATTCAATTTAGGAATGATAAAACTCGATTTAGGAAGATAGCTAATCATCATTAAGACCATCATGAGTGTTCAGGTACAGTTTTCAAAGCATCTTCATCGGACCGTTCTATGTCACAGTTCTGAAATAAATATAAAATTACAATAAAATACATGGCAACACATAACAACATTCGTAAGTATGTTTACATTAACAAAACTAAACTAAAGTAATAAATATGAATAATGACCACATTTCTTTAAATTTTTAATTGGAAAAATTCGCCTTACGGTAAATTTTGCTTGTATCAATTATGAAACAATTCTAATTTGTATTGACATCACGAGCCTCGGTTGGAATTTGAGCGACCTAGCTAATCGGGAACTGGTCGAAATTCGAATAGACATTCCATTCAACAATAATATGGAGTTTATAGCGGTCAGAAAACGATTGTAACTTGTACTGTCGTCCCGATTCAGAACTCCAGTAAAAATTTTATAACTGAAAAAATTAAGAGTTATAACGATTGAAGAATAAGTATCCATTATGAAATTAGTTGAACTAAAGTTTATTACCTGCTTAACAGGTTAAATGTTTTCGCATTTTTTGTCGCATTATTGCAAAACTATACACACTTAAAACAAAAGAAAAATAGTATAAATTTTATAATTTAATATAATTTTTATAATTTAAAAACTTTTTTTATTAAAAAGTAATACAATTATTATATTGAAAATGCAAGAGATAATTTTTATTTTTTAAATAAAAACAGTGCGCCTCTAAACTTTTTAGATTCAACAAAGAATAAAACTTTTTACTATACAAAACTCATTGAATAAATAAATTTTAAAAATAAAAGATTCATATCGCGTCAAACGTAAACTTTTATACACACACACAAAAAATTTTTTTTTAACAAACACTGGAGGAGACAAATGAGGGATTAACAATGTTTTGAAGGAAGCAAACAATTAATGATCTCAAAAATTAGAAAAATATAGAATTTTTAGTTTTCTTTGTGAAGCTGCAAGTCTATTATTTACACCGAGGACCCCCAAAAAATAATAAAAACTGATGCACCTGCCCTAACAACCCGCAGTGCATCAATATGACGTTGCATGGGTTTACTAATGATTGTAAGTATACTGGAGGCAATTCACACCATGGATCCTGTAGGGTTGGAGACCACAAAATTCCAAGATGGAGACCTTTTCTGCATAGTATATTGCAAGGCATTCCAGATCAATAATGTTCTTCTGGAGAATACGCAGCTAAAGGGAAAATTTTAGGCCAAAATTTGTCCTCACAACCAGTTTGTAATAACTCTCAAATGTGTGGAGTGGCAAAATGGACCAGAATGGGTTCAAGTCATTGGACAGGTTAGTTCAAATATTTGTACAAACTAATGTCAGACATAAAAAATAAAATAAGATTATTTGGATCGCCCAAGGTCATGGAACTAATTTTCAACCGAAATATGTAAGTCCCAGGTTTGTAATTGTATTATTAAAATAATTACCTTCGAAAAGATATTCAAATTAGAATACTTTACTTTTATTACAAGTCATGAAATACATAAAAACAAGTTTATTTAACACGTTGAATGCCACGCTAATTTTACATGGCTGGCCCATCTGGCCAAAATGATTTTCTCAGTATTTATTGCATTAATTTCTTCAAACCATTTTAGTAGCGATAATATAAAATAAAATTAAAAGCATTAAAAATTTACTTGAATTATGTATTTCTAATAATTTTGGCTTCGTCGGTCACCGGTGACCCCCATGGTATTCAACGTGTTAAAAAAAGCTTAAAATTTAAAAAAATAAGAGTCTAGACTTAACGTTTTACTTAAACTTACATATTTAATACTATGAACACACAAAAAAAATTGCTTTTAATTCTGAAAACATAATGTAGAATAACTTATGTCATAACAACAGAAATAGGTATGCATAATGATTGTTCAAATATTCATAAGCATTGAACAAAAGAAAGCAGTTTGTAATTTGTTTCGTTCAGGTAACAAAAAAGGGGAGTATATAGCAAGACACTAAATCCTCTTATCTTTATCTGGGGAAAAAAATCAGACTAATTTATGGAAAATATAACAAACAAAAAAATTAACATGCGAGGGTTCAAAAAAATAAACGAAGGTTTGCAATTAAACACAAGGCGAAAAATTAGTCCAATGTTACCCTTAAGAATAATTTAGTTTCTTTTAAATATTCTTCAATCTGATTTATTCAATGACTTAATAAAGAGCCGTGGTGGATCAGGGGATAGATTGCTTGTCTCCCAATGAGAAACCCTGCTTCGAATCCAAGAGATGACTAGTCAATACGAATTCCGCACCTGGTTTGCACAGACTGCTGTGCAGACATAAAATATCCTCACTGATAGAGCGATCTTGGGTTAGAGTTCCCTTGTCATCAGGCTAACCGTGGGACGTTTTCCTCTTGATGTAAAGAAAATTCAAGCTAGTTCATAAAAAAAAGTCCTGCACAAGGCAAACTTATCCCAATACTTGACCCAGGAGTTCCCTTGTCTTCTGGGTCGGGTTCAAAATTACAAGCTTACAGAATTGAACATTGGTAGTCAAACTCGAAAAAATTTGGCACAACAACGGTGATAAAATTAAAAATACTTAAAAAATTTTCAAATAATTTTACAGAAAATTGCAATTTATGAAGAAGTCTTAAAAAGCTAAATTATGGTAACAACAAAACAAGATACAGAGTGAACAACAAAAATAAACTTTATTGACTCAAATAAAATATCATAAAATCTAAAAAATATATATGTGTATACGAAACTAAACATAATAGAACATATAAGAGCTGCACAATAAAATTTCAAAACTTGTAACATCTCATACGAATGAAAGATAAAATTTTTGAGTTAACAAAATTGAATATTCTTCAAAAAAAAAAAAAAAAAAANAATATTATTAATGGTCAGTTATGGACTGGTCTATTTACCTGGTAATCCTTGTTAAATATTGACTATATTATGGGGGATAAGTAACAAATATCTAAAAAAAACTTATTATTTCATCCAGTCCATCACTGTAAATAACTTTTCAACTTAGAATAAGCCCTGTTAACCCATTAGAAGCCAAAATCTTTCATTTTTAAATCTAAATCTTAGATTTACTAATACTTTGTCTTTACTTTGTTTCAAAGTTTGTTAGCAGAAAACTTATAAACTGGCATCAATGCCTGATTAAATGTCTATTTTCCTGGAAAATTTTTATGTTCTTGTAATAAATCAATCAATCAATCTTTCAGCAGTAAAATACATGCTATAAACTTAGTTATAAGCATTTTAAAACTTAAAAAAATTGGTGCCAGCAGCACCCTTCAAAATATTATGTGATAAGTCGAATTTTGCACTTTTAACTATCAATAAAATGTAATTTTTCCAACCGAGAAACAGATTTTTGCCTCACAATAACATTTCTTTCAGCATTTAAGATTAATTCAATCCTCTTTCAATAGTGACAATCTAAAATTATTATTTTTAGTAAGAGTAGTATGGAAAATTGCACCAAGTTCTGACAAATTCATCAGTGATAAAGAACCAGAAGAAACTATCAAAAAATGGATATAATCCTTAATTTCTGAAAATGCAACAACTGGATTAAAGCATTAAAAATTCAAAAACAGTTTAAGCTAATTTGAGAATAAATACATTCTTTTTTCTGCAAACTTTGATCAAAATTCCTGATTTTGATAATTAGAGAAAAATAATCTAAACATTGATCATGTTATTTTTTACCAAAGACTAAGAATTTAAATAGGGCTCCTTATAGTAACTAATGAAGACAACTTTTAACCTACTTTACAATAAGCATACTTCAGAATTTAAAACTTAGTTAATAGTACTAAATTAAAAGCACTAACTTTTAAAACTCTGACTAAGCAGCAGTTTTGGTAAAGGTTTTGTTTCACATCATGCATATCTTTAAATTTACAAATAAGTGTACTGGGTTTATTTAAAATCCTAAATAGATATAAATTATTCACACAATTTTTAAACATAAAAGAAAAAAGTGGCTTTGTAGTGTTTTCCAAAAATTAACTTGTAAAAATTTATTGAATTTAAAAAATGCATAGGAAATCATTTTTATTAAATGTTGTTTGATGGGTTAACAGGGCAAAAATAAATAAGGGGAAAAAAAGAACTCATAATCATTTAACTTTCAATAAGTTATAATTATCAAGAATCTCAAAAATGATCTAGATTCAAAAATCAAAGGAGATATAAATGTTGATTTGCTGCATTTTGTTCTCAGAAAACTATTTTTAAGTGTTAAAATTAGTTACAAATTTACCAACAAACGGCGCTGCAGAATGCACAATTTAAAAACAAATGTTTTCTGAAGCATATATCAGATAATTTTATCTCCAGCAAATATTCAGAAATATTTGAAGGAGTCTTAATTTTGTCTTCAGAAGACGTTGCTGCAAATAGTAATTATTTAGAAAACAATGTTTAGTAACTAGCGCAACCTGTTGACAACATTTGTATCAAAAACTAACTAAATTTGTGAGAAAAACTTTCTTTTAGCAGAACAAAGCAAACCTTTAATTTTCCTTCTAATTTTGTTTCTCTCCGATTCTCAAATAACTTGTCATTTTTGGGTTATGTGTCATGAAAAGAATATTGAAAACTGCTTACATTATATTGCACATCAATATTTAAGAATAAGATAGGGATAATTTAAATACACACATACAATTCACACACAAGAGTAAGTACAAACACATCATATAGAGTACTCAACTATATAAATTTCAAAATATAGATTGAACCAATAAGTGGAAAATATTTCATGGGTAACTGACACAAGCATTTAAAATAATGGTTAAACGGTGGCAATAAATTTTTTGAAAGAAAAAAGAAAGACGAGAAATAGTTTAAATTTTAACGACATATTTTTATTTAGCTAAAAACGCATTAAAAATTCTCACAGATCTAATTTTGTGAAATGTTAGTTACCCATAAAACAGCCCATGTAAATATGTATCTATGGGAGAAAATTGGATCAAAATATTTCCATCACAGAAGTTTTTGAGTGAAAAATTAAGTTAGAGTAAGTAGAAAATAGAAACTTAGTGAGTAAATTTTCCGATTTTAATACCAATAAATTTTTTCAGAAAATGAACAACTAGTTTTCATTCAAATGTAAGCTCTGATATACTTAAACATTGACCTCCTTCAGTATTACTAAACTACTAGTTACATCACTAAATTCTTTAAAAATGCACATCTTTTTATAATGTTCAATATGTATCTAATGATTCAATTGAAAACAACGTCACAATTTTTGGTAGCCACTAAATAACTGTCAGTTTCTTTGGCCCCTAAATATATAATTCAATATAAAATTTTTAAATAAAATAAAACACAGAAAAAAGTACAATAAAATAAAAGTTACCACACAAGATACCTAAAATATGAAACATCAGAGTACTTCTCCGTAATGGTACTTGCATAAAGATTTTTTTTAAAAATTCATTTCACAATATAATCATTTTTCCAATGTTATATTGGAATTACTATATCAGAATTTCGAAACCTTATCCCAAAGCTTCATAAATTTATTTTATCCTAGTAATCATAACTAAATTTTAAGTATACCAATAAAATGCGGGCATAATTACAGCAAACAATTTTGGAAGAGCTTTATATCACACAGTAATTTCATGCATACTGTAAATCAGGACAACTTTGGCCTATTTTTTCCCCACAATTTTTTTAATAAAATTTAAGTATAAGAAATATTCCATAAGAAATAATTTGGAATGTAAGAAATATTCCAAATAGTTAGAAAATGATATAGGATAGACGGGCATAAAATGCAAAGCAACAAATTTAAGTTTCTGAAAATATGATATTTCTGATCATACTTTGAAATATTTATGTTTCTTGGATGTGCAATCTATTCTAAATCTTATCTAAAAAGCAACAATTCTTAGCCCTTTAAAAACTAGTGTAAATAAATAGTTTTGAATTACTTATGTGAGATACAAAACAAACTTATAAGAAATTAATTACAATAAAAGCTCGGTTATCTGGAATTAAACTGCGAGAAAAATACAAAAATCGAATTTTCAGAAATTTATAATTTTTTTCCTAAAGATTAATAAGAACATTTCGAAATCACACAGTAGTAATTTATTGATCGATATTTGATACAAGACATTTAATTTCACTCAATTATAAACAAGCATTTAGATTATATATTAAAAAAAACTACTGATAATTTTTTCCTTTTAATTTTAATGAATAACTACTATAGGTTTTCTTCCTTCATCTTTATTTTTTCATAAGATTCAATTGTAATGTTTCTTTTGTTTTCATTGAGGTGGTTCATTTTCTTTCTTTCTAGAAAATAAGTTAATATTAAAAATTAAGATTTTGGTGCTCTAGTATCCAGAATTTTTGCAAATCCCACACATTTCGGATACTCAAGCTTTTACTGTAATTTGAAAATCCTATATTTAAACTAAAAAAAATATGCATGAACAATAATAACAAAACTCATTACACTTTTTACAATAACATTACTATATTTAGAAAACAAATAGTCTAAAAAATAGTATAGATTAAATATAAAAATTCTAGAATAATTGCATTGAATATTAAGCACATTTAGAATACATAGCTGGAATAATAGTTAACCAATCATTACACCAAAGATCTGTCAAACAAATTCCTTGAAAGCAGCTTGTTTTCAGTAGAGGTTTTATAAGGACTTGCAATAAAATGATTTTCTTTTGTATTTTAAAAATAATAATTTGCTATAAAAGCTTACAATATAAAATGAGAATACAAATGTAAAGAAAGCCTTATTTTATGGCAATAAATTTGAAAATAGCAAAGTTATTTCAGCGGCACTAATTTGTTTTGTATAAACCCTGTACATTCTGAATTTCCTAGTTCACATTATAAAAGTCAAAATAATTTACTCAAAAATAATCTCATAATATACAATTCTTTATAAACCTTACTAATATTTTGACAAGAACTTTACATTACAAAAAAGTAAGCCTCCCATTAGAATGCACAATTATTCCATTTACAATAGATACACTCAAGCAGACCATTTTAGTAATTACAAACATTCAGTGCAGTAAGAATAATTTCAGGACTAGAATTTTGACATTCCTCTATGAATGTTCCTAAACAGATTGACATAAGATGACATTTAATAAACTTTTGTTGCTGCATCAAACAGGAAGAACTTTTTTTCACCCTCACATCCTTCTATTCCTAGATCTTCCTTTAATTCCTTAAACTTGAATTTGTCATCAAGTTCTCCCGGTACCTAAAAAACAATTATCTTTATTACATGCATGAATCTACACATTAAACATTTAAGACACAAAACACAGAAGCTATTAACTAGCCAAATTCATTTTCATAGTGGCAAAATTCCCTATGTAACTGACTGACAATACTTGGCTTAACGTATTATAATTTCTCGAAATCGCTTTGTTTTATAATTATTAACGAAATTTAAATTCGCACTGCTAAATGTAACTAAAATTATTGAAAAATATTAAGTGCATTCTGACATTTTTGCAAGCCAGTTACAATAAACTTTTCAAGGATTTACGGCTTTTGCTAAATATTCATTTTTAAGAATAGTTTTTTTCTTTTTAATTTCAGTCAGCTATTCATAGGAATTTTCCAGGCAAAATTTTTTAAAGCTGTTAAGCGTTAATAAAATTGACAAAAAGTAATTTTAAAAATGTTTGAAAGAAACCACATTTTTACTTTCAAGTATTGTTAGTACAAACTAAGAATACAATAATTTAATAACAATTAAAAAATTTCGAATTTACTTATATTAGATTTATTGAAGTTTAATTGAACAAAAAGCATTACATTTAACTTTCTTAAAATTTTATTGATCACAATATTGTTAGAAGCAGCAACACATCAGCAATTTTAATTTTAACAATAATTTTAATGTGTACTTGGAACACAATTTAGTTCCCTTTGGAAGTTAATTTAATACACAGAAATTTTGTAGTTAAAAAATAAATTGGAAACAATGGGGAAAGCAAAATATATCAAGCAGTTTAGTAACTTGAAAAATTTAAAGCGATGAATCAAAACTTACATTCTAACTCGATGACTCCTTTCTTCTGGAAGTTATTTCGCTCTTCATGGCTTTCTAAGTATGCTAAAATAGTCTAAAATCAAAAGATAAGGTGCTGAATCACTGGGCCATAGAAAATGTGAACACCAGTGGATAATGAAAATAAACTGAATACCAAAACACTGCTTGATATAAAAAAGTTGAAATAGCTTCAACTCAACTATTCTAAACAACAACATATAAAATTTAAAACCTCGTTTATAAAAGTAATAATAGAGTGCAAAAAATATGGTGACTGAAATTCAGACCAATCGTTTGAAAACAAATCCACAGAAAAGCCATTTTTCAAAAGATAAACTTTCGTAGCTGATTACATACGATTTTCGTTTAAAAGTGATAATAGCAAATTACGAGTAATAAATTATTTTTGATAGTTTAAAACTGTAAAATATAGTATCCTACATTTTATTGCACACGTTCTTAATAATTCATTTTTACTAAACTTTGTTAGAATTTTAGAAGTTAATCACTTGAATATGGTTTTCTTCTAAACAGATGTAGATTTTTACAACATTGAAATATAAGAATACTGATTGTAAGCAGTATATAAAATTATATTTAACAAGCTTAAAAGTGCAATATCTATGGAAAAATCTGAATCTTCAATACTTAAAATGAAATTTTTTTAAAATTTGATTTAATTTTATTCCATTTTGATGAAATCATTGATTCTTTCTATTCAAATTTCCAGAAAACACTATACAGTGAGAGAAGATTTTCATTGCGAATTCTGTTATACTTCCATCTGTGTATTAAAATTTAAAAGTTTAGAGACAAATGGATTCGAACGTACTAAGAGTAAGCATTGAAGTTTCAAATATTGATAAAAGGTTTTAAAAATATCAAAATGTAAACAAATTGTTAGAACTTTCTCACAATTTAATCTTCTTAAAATTTGCTTGCATTTGTATATTTTGATTTTTTTTAAACAGTTTGAAACCTCATGGCTTACTCTAGGAATGTCTAAACTCACTTTTTCTTAAGTTTTTAAATAGTTTATGAAGGTGTAAGAATTTACTGAGAAGGGTTTCTCTTTTAGTATAACATGCTCTTAAGCTAATTTTTAATACAAAATCTACTCAAATAAAATTGATGTCCGGTAAAATACTCAAGAGTTGACCTATATTGTAGCTGTATTTTCTTCCCAAGTAAAAAACTATTTCCCGGTAAGCTGCTCCATATTTTTCTCGAGCAAAAACAATTTGTGTGAATAATTTCAGTTTTAACACATACTTATTATTAAAGCAAATTATTTTAATTTTGAAGCGAGTTCAGAGAATTACTGTTTAGACAGGATTTGTATTATAAACAAAAATAATGTAGAGGTTAGAGTAAAATTAAACTGAAGTTCTTATTGTACTATCAAATTCAGAATTCTAAAGTGTCATTTTTTGAAATAAGATTTATAACTAATGAAGAATATTGCACCTTTATAGCAATTTAAAAAAAAATCTTAGTTCTCACAAAAATCACAATATTGAATTTCAAAATAGCGTGGATTTAAATCGCGAAATTGGATTTTAAAATTTAGAAGATTATGAATCGCGATATTACATTTTAAAATCACGATATTGGTTTTCAAAAACGCATGAATACGAATTATCTGATTTTTAACTCTCGTGAATATGAATTTGATTTTAAAAATGCCTTAATACAAATCGCTATATTGAACTTTTAAATTGCGTGAATACCAATCGCAATGCATGACTTTTTAATTAAGTGAATGTGAATCGCAATGTGTAACTTTTAAATTGGGTAAATACGGAAATCAATGCTTAATATTCAAAGCTAAATGTTTCATTTCAGGAATGAAACATTTTCTTTGATGTGTTGATGTAAGAGTGATGCATAAAAATTATCAAAAATGACCATTACAAATAGTTAGATGAGATAAATACTGTTATGCCCAAATTCAATTCATGTGTAATCGAAAAAAAGGTAGAAAATGTTAAGCAGGTAAAATTGACTAAAAATTGTGAAGTCTGGTACTCTCAGACAAAAATGAGTACATTAGAAAAAAAAATTTCATTTTCGATTCAGATTCTAAATTTAAGAGAAATAATCGCAATTTTTAGCAATTCATTACACATGCATTAAAAAACTATACATACATTTTAAAATTATTTCTTACCAAAAGTACCTTCAAAGTATTTTTAGGATACTGCATAACTTAAAATTTAAAGCCTGAGTACTCGAGTAGAAGTGTACAAAATCTCATATTTTATAGTTATAAGATACAAAAAATAAAAACTAACAATTATGTTCAATCAGCACCGCACTTATAAATAAATGTGACACTCTGGTGTTATTACACATTCAAAGTATGACAGATTGTTGAAGAAAAAAATGTATAACACTATTTCTAAGCTTTCAAGGAAATTGCGCATTTAATTCCAAGCCAATTTTACAAATTGTATGATCGACTTTTATAAAAATATCTAGGGGATAATTGGTGATCATCTCAAAACATTGATTTTATTAAAAAATAAATTAAATAAAAAATAAAGTTAACACTATTTGTTGTAATATTTATTAAAAAGACTTAAATTTAATGTTCTTTTATAGGTAACAGTTGTCTTTTTTTATTTTAAATTTGACAGCAGTTAAATTTCATGGAAGTAATATCTTTATTTCTAATAAAAGAAATTACTTTTTTTTAAACAGTATTTTATAAGTAATTGATTGAAAGATAAATACAACTACTTTTTTTTAAATGTGGTGACTATAATTACTTTAAGATTTTAGCAATTACAAACTACTTCCACTACTTTAAGGAGACTAACTTTGCTGGAGAACTTAATTTATACCTATGTTCAAAATTATTTTGAGTTAGAAATTGGATAATAATAAACTTGAGGAATTATTAAGAAATATTTATTCATGTTTTCATTAGCTAGTTTGCCAGCCCTAAACTTTATTTTTCAAATTTGCTAATTTAACCTTCGATTTTTTTAACTTTCTCGAAAGCGAAATTTTATTTAAGAAATGTTAGGAAATTATCAAATACTTGCAATTTTGTTAATTGTTTAATGCTTTTCTTATTTTGCCTAAGAAATTAAGTACATCAAAAATATGTTCCATTCCTTTGAAACAACAATGTTCACGAGCCTACCTTCACATGTGAAAGTTTGACCTGAGAGATAAATAATCTATTATTTGTAATGGCTAGTTTAAATATTAGTTGTATGTGATTCTAAATTCGTAATTCCTGTTAATGCACAGCCACAGGGGCATTTTTATTACATCTGCAATGATTTGCTCCCATCATTCAAAAATAATAGTTGACGTTAAGAGTCCAGTTTTTTAACTGAACTAACGAGTTAAAATAGTAGCCAGGAATCGCCACAAATTACATTTTTTTAAAGTAGTGACCACAGTAGTTTAAGTAGGACACTAGTAGTGCCCTACTTATGACCACTGGTCACATACTAAATGTCAGGCTTGAATAAATTTTTTTAAGTATTTTTAATTAATTAATTTTTAATTAAGGTGATGCTTAAATTAAAAATTGCATTGCTTAAGCAATGCCATTTTTCATCACCTCTGTTACAGTGGAATTGTACTAATTCATCGTAATTCAAAGAAAGATATTTCCCACACCATAAAACCTGATGGGTTCACTATTTCCTCCAGTATTTCTATTGCTTTTTCATCAATTGTCTAATCTACATTAGTAATGACCTAGAACTTTTCTGGGATGATCTAATGCATGTGTAACAGTTTTTAGTCAGAAACTGGAGATTGCTAATGTATTTGGTCATAATGATTTGTAAACAATAAAGAAAGTGAATGATTTCTTTGTAATGGTTCAAGAGTAGAGAAAAGGAAAGTATCAATCCAAGAAATGCGGCAGAATATGAAAAAGTAAACAGATATAATTCAACAGAAAGGGAATACTGGGAAGAAAATCTAAGAGGATATATTTTTTTTAAAGCAATTGTTTTATTTTATCTAGCTAGCTCAAAAAGAAAAAATTGTAATATATTCCTAAACATAATTTTTTTTTTAAATACTTCAACTGTTCGAAAATTGTTGGCACCATAAAAGTTCCTATTCATCTTAATAAACAATGACTTTTTTATAATTCATGTTATCATCAGATGAATACATTACTTACATTGCTGAAAAGTAATTAAAATAACGAGAGAACAATTTAAATT